TTAAACGTATACCATTCTCTACCTCTAAACATCCTGCACAATATCTAGCATTTTTTTTTCATAAAAAAACTATGGAGCCTTTTTTTTTCTTTTCTTTTTTTTTTAATTTGGAAAATGTTCTAAGGTAAATTGATGTAAACTACCCCCAAAATTAGAATATCGGTTTCAAATTCTAGGGACAGCGACATCAGCCAGATGGATTGTGGAATAGATATTTTGTAAAAAATCGCCTGAAAAGTTTCGCCGCCAGCATTGTATGCGGACTGACGTTTTGCCGTTATTTGAATTTTCGGTAAAAAGGACACACAACGCATGATTTATAGCTACACCACGAGTTAGAAATATTTTTTATACATTTATCAACTGTATTTATTCACTGTGTCGTTACCAAAGCCCTGTATTAAGAGTTTTTCGTACGAAAATTCACAGTTTTTTCGTACAGCATTACATAACTTTCTCTCTACTCCGTAGCAAGAAAGTAAAAAAATAATTTCGAAAAATCATTAAAACGAATAAAATCTTAGCGCAGAATGAGCTGAATGCATATCGCTGAATGTGCCTGTGTCATTCTACATAATCTGTAATATGACATTGGACCTAAACATTTGAATAAAAATCTATTTTAATTTACCGATTACACTCGACTCACACTCGGGCATTCATACTAACAGTATACCGAGGATGGGGAAAATATTAACTAGTGGGCATATTTTGATAAACAGAACGTCGCCAAAAATGATCAATAAAATACTGTTCAAATGTTTTTAAAATGCCATCAAAAGCAAAGAAAAATGACGTAAATGTTTTTATCAAAAAAATTCAAATGCGTAACTCAAGATGTTGGGTATGTTACTGATCTAAACGAAGTGGCGAATCGAGGAGGGCTATGCCACCTCGAAAAAAAGCCTCGAGAAAAAAATTAAATCGGTTAAAGTGCAGGATAGATAAAAATGAGATACAAGAAATAAATTGCAGAAACGTCTAAATTGTATCGATAAATAACCGCGCGTAATGTCTTTAGCCTTTTAGATACGAATGGAAATGAGAGTGTAGGCTTCCGCGACCGGAGACAATATTTAATTGGCTGTCGCGCCCATGGCTGAGGTGCCAACGTTTCGGTCGCCATTCTGCGACCTTCCTCAGGGCATTACGAATTCAATTCGAATGGGAATACTGATTCTCGCTATATTTTAGCCCAGTAATACGTATGGAAAATGTCTTCGACTGTTCTCCAGAGGTGTGTGACAGTTCATATCTCCTTCTAACTCCGGTTGACAAGCGGTGCTGCGGCGACTTCCACATACTGGAGTGTGGCCGACGCAACTGGAAACAGTGTTGACGGAGTGAGGTCTCTCTCTAGGAACCAAGTGAGTGATCGTGGGCCATTGCGATATTTCGGGCAATTACATTGTGCAATGAAAACCGCTCGGAAACAAAGGAATAGGGTATGAATCGCTTACGTGTGCCTGAGACGGCGCAGTAATACGTACTTAAGAGGAGAAAGAAAATATCTAATAAAAATAAGAAGAAAAGAGAAAGATATCTAATAAAATAAAAACGTGGATGAGGTTTGAGACGTATTTTGTGAAATCATGTCGACTTGCTCAGTCCTGGACAGTAATGTTTGTATGTAAGCGAATGTTTAATTTATAAATGGATATTGTTTGTTTTTTTTAATTTAAATTCTATGTGTTCACATCTGTATCATTGAATGAAAAATAGAATATCCTAATCCTTCGTCGTTTTGCAACTCTGATTTCAGCGATTTTAATAACAAATTATTAATATTTTTTAATTTAAAACCATAAAGTTTTCATTAAATATTAAACTTAATATTTTAATTTTGTTAAAAACATTTATGTTTATACTTTATATAATAAACATTACACAATTATTGTTTATAATTTATATTACCTTTGTACTTTTATACAAGTAGAAGACAAAAAATATTGTCTCTGGATCCACCTCAGGGCATTACGAATTCAATTCGAATGGGAATACTGATTCTCGCTATATTTTAGCCCAGTAATACGTATGAAAAATGTCTTCGACTGGTTCAAATATCTTCTTTCAGTTCCTACATTTGGAATTACCAATGAATCATAGTAGCTGATAATGTTATAATCCCATTCAAATGTTCTCAATATTCAGTGGCCTTGTATGTTACCTCCACATGGTATATGAACTGGTAACATCGCAATTTCAAAATTATAATTGACGTAACAAACACCTGCAAGTCTTGATGATGCAAATAGTTAAATTTTAGTTCAACTATATTTTTTACACTATTTTTGCTAATACGCACATAGCACATTTGCATATTTTTCTCCTCTTTTTTGAAGAAATTAAAACTCAACAAACGCAGTTTAATTTGTGTTCACTTGTACTTTCTGCAATTGCTCTATTAATAGTTTTTTATGTGAATTGTTTATATAAACAATAAAAGGCATCTGTTTTGTAAGTTTATGTAAATAAAGTGTCAGTTAAGTTTAATAAGAATAAATTGTAGGTCACATTAATTTGAAAATCGGTATTTTCACACTTATGTAAGAAAATAAAAGTGAGAGGTCGAACGTAAGAACGTTCATTCATTCTCTAGCATTACACACAGTTTTGCTTTCTTCGTATTCTCTAGAAAGTCTTCAAGTTTAATAAATTCCAAGGCAATAGTGTTCATAGGTTTTTGCAAACTATTTTTTAAATATGATCATTCGAATCAAAATTGAAATAAAATCTGCAGCGCGATTCACTTGGTAATTCAACTGTCCACACAACATAGCAACACCAGTGTTGCCAACGTCATGAAACAAAATTGTAGCGTATAGAGTGAAAATTGCCTTGGGTACTGGAATTTAATCAACCTCACCTACACAGATCAATTCAGATAGCATTGGTTTAATTCCAGGCATACTCACTAAGACCGCTATTGTTGTCTCTTGTTTCCAACGCGACTTAGCAAACGGTAACGAATCCTGCTTCAACTGTTGCAAGTTAATTTCGCAACACAGCAATCCTGATAATGCTGACAACCAAACGCAATTTTTAAACCTGTTTTCGAAGAAAATAAAAAAAAAAAAATTTAAAAAAAGCGTTTATCGAAAATAAGATTTTCTTAAACATACTTCGGGGCCGTTTTTGAAAAAAAGTTTTTTACTGAACTGCCTATATTTCTCGCAAAACTACTATCATTTTCGAACAGTGATATGTGATCTTAAAGATCTATATTTCAAAAGTTCATGTTGTTTGTGTCTATGGCTTTTATCCTGCCGACCGCCGGTTACCCTCCACGTTCCGATGGGACGCGTATTCGACGATACACTAAACAGGAACACACCCGCTGATTCCTCTGATCTGGGCTCAGCAGAACATGAGGACCTCCGGGACAACACATAAACGAGAGCCCATGCCCAAAGCGGGACCGAACCTGCGTTGAGTCGGTAGACGCTCTTCGCCACTTCGGCCAAAAATAGATTTAATTCAGAAAGTAGTGGTACTACAGAATGGCACAGACTTTTCCGTATTAGTTTTCCATTTCCCTTGCTCTCGGCTATCTATTCAGACTTGCCACATACTCTTGCCAGCAGCCATCTATCGCTGCCCAAAATACATTTTTTGACATTTTCTTAATTTTTTGGTTTCCTAATAGTAGAACGGAAATAATATTCGAAGAATAGTAAAGAACAGCAAACCTCGTCCTAAAGGGCAATTTCCTTCGAAAAATTTGGAGCCGTTTTTGAGGAAATTGTGTTTAAGCGCTACTGTAAATTCGAAATTTGAAACTATTTGTTCATAGAAACTTTTTTGAGTTTCCGAAAAACTTCAGTCAAAGTCATTTGAATCAAATTAACTAACGATTACAATAGTGTTTACAAATTACTGGAAATATGCCTATTAATGGCGTGAGAGATTTTTAAAAAAAAGTTACATGTGTAATTTTTGAATAAATAAAAAAGTACCCCAAAATGAATGTTACGACATATTAAAGAGTGCATTGAGCACTACCGGTTTGAAAAGTTTGAAGAAAAAATTTGAGCTGTTAATTGAGAAAAAGGTGTTTAAGCGTTTCTGAAAATACGGAATTTTGAGCTAGTTTTCATAGAAAACGTTGAGTTTTCGAGAAACGTTATATGATCTAATTTAAAGCACATGTACTCATAAATATAATAATGTGAACAAATTGTCCGAAATATAAATATTAACGACGTGACAGACAAGCCAAAAAATATCATTTTTGTATTTTTTTGACAAAACAAAAGAACAGAGCAATATGGCGTTTATGTCATCTTATAGATGGCGATTATATCAACATTTATCACTATTCCTACCAAAATATTTAAGAAAAAATTTGGAGCCGTTTTTGAGAAAATCGTTCTTGTAATTTTTTTAAATTGCATGTAATATTGCAAGGAAAATTACTAAACTTTTCAAAAAAAATGTACATCACCTTAATGAAAGAACTCACTAAGGAGAACAAATTTTATTTGAAGGAAAAATATCTTCAATTTCGTAGATGTAGAAAGACACACGAACATTTTTGAAATTTTCGAAAATTCAGAGTTATACCTGAAAATAGGGCCTTTGTCACCTTTAAAATTTTATTTTCCTTTATTCTTAGAAGAAAATTAAAGAAAAAATTTGGTGCCGCTTTGAGAAAAATTTGAAAATGTCCGGGAGCTTCATGTAAAGTAGGCACAAATTTTAAAGATTTTTTTTCAAAATCTCAAAGATTCGACTCGAGCCAGATAAACAAGGGTATCTTCAATTTGGAAAATATTCTACGTATGGTTTAGGTGCTAGTGGTGTTCACAGTCAGGCTGACAGAAAGATTTTTAAAAACACTTATTTGGTATCAGGGGATCCCATAATGTGTATTTCCGGGAAAATCTCGAAATCGATTTTCCGCAGCATTACATAATTTTTCCTGTACTATGTATATTTCTCTGTACATATAGGGGAACATAAAAAGTCACGTTTATGATATGCTGTGAAAAAACTACTAATAAAATATAAAAACTTTAATAACTATTAATTTTTCATCAAAAACAAACTTGGACAAAACAAAATTCCAGGTATTTACAAAATATTCTCTCACTTTTCCAGTTTTTAATTTTTTCCTGACATTTCCAGGTCCATACAAACCCTGCAGTATTATTGAGTCAACAGGATGGCCAGTGCAGAGCTGCAGCATAGAATCATTTATAAACAACAGAGGGAAAGAAATAGAATCCAATTTTGTTGGAGCTCACTCTCCTTATTACTACCATACAACATTGTGTGGTTTTAAGAAAGCATGAAAAAGAGGACAAAATCTTATGCATCCATTCAATAGCTATGCAAGGTCACAAAATCATTGTCAATACATACATATTTTTCCAAAAGCACATTTTTCAAAATATGTATGTGATACAGCAGAACAACTGTTATTTTCTACATTAGAGCATTCAATATCATGTAAATAACAAAATATTTTGTACCACACAATCATGGCAGACATATGTTGTTACTTTATGTCACTTCTAATAAATATTAATTATTTCTCTGCCTGAGAAATTTCAGGCTTTACCCGTAGATAATAAATTTATATTTTCTACATATGTTTAAAATTGTTTACATGACTTTTCCCTAACCAGGACATTTTTCTTCACGCCATACCTCATAAAATCACATACTTTCAAGATTGAATGTAATAATACGTTTTTTCTTACAAATCAACTAATGTCAATTTTGAGAATGCTAAAATCGATAAAACAATAAATAATTAACATAACATTTTATTGCTATTATTTTATTTAAGAGACCACTTATTACATGATTAACAACTACATTGGCACAATATATAATTCCAAGAAAGGGCATAGTCACTGTTCACCAACTCAGTCTTTGTGGAAAAAAATGTTTGAAGATTGAGCAAAGTTTAGTCGGTTCATTTGAGTACAGAAACAAGTGTGAACACCTCTTAGATGAACTAACACGAGACACAAGTAACCTGATAAGCTCTTAAAGAGACATTTAACAAGGAATTCCTTATAAAGGATACCAAATTCTACCACTTGCAGTTCTGCAGTAGCAAAGATGAGCACAAGGAGCTACAATATTCAGCATTCTACATAACATAAAAATATAAATATTTTTCCTGATATCTATTCAACACATAGTTTTGAAAGTACTCTTAGAAATACTGTAACTGAGATTATATTTTAATACCTACCAACATTGACTAATTTGAGAATACTTAACAATTGAGTATTAACACTGTAGGTAAAAATGTCTTTGTTCAATTAACAACAGGTACAAAACTATTACAAGGTAAACATCTCAAAAAATGTAAATATAAAATATTTATAAATATATACACAAAGCTATATCTATCAGTTTTGTAATGTGATTCTCATAAAAAAACAGCGGATCACATTTCTATCTCCCTGCTCATCTTTGGTCTTAATATTTAAAAATTAAGTACCTGGTGAGTGATTCAAGTGTCATTAACATACCTACTTTTCAAAGTCATAAAGTAAAGTGTGTTGTAGGGAAAGGCATAAGATCATTTACTGATCCAAAATGTAAGCTTTTATCATATACTGTACTTTTATCCTCTATGAGGGTGGAAAACAAAACTAATAATAAATATAATATATACAAGTAAAATATTATTTTAGGCCAGAGATCAAACCCTTGTCATATAAATTTAAAATTGAATCAGCAATAATCCTGGCAGTTTGCTTCAAGTAACCACCACTAGTCACCATAGCAATTGGAATACGTCGTTCACGAGCCTTCATGAACACCAACTCATCTCGGCGTATAATGCCCTAAAGAAGACACAGTTGCGTGTTAAAATATTAAAGCCAATTATCATGAGTGTGAACAGAAAATGGCACATCATTTTCAAAGTTAACTACAATCAATCAAGAAGTCTAAGGATATTTTATGATAATTTTGAAATAAAATAAATAAAAATGGTGGTTGAATAAAAGAAAAGGAAACAAGAACAAGTGAATTTACTGATATGGAGGGACAGTTCATACAGGCTTCTCTCACCACTATACTGTGGGTCCAAAAGTAACAAACATTTCATTAACTCAGGGGTTGCTAAATATTATAATTGCAGTTCAACATTCAAACCACACTAAAATAAATAAATAGCAAAAATATGTCATTTATTATTTGAGTAACAAACCTGAGGAGAAATTGAGAGCAATCCCAAACGATCACCGCGAAGGATATCTGTTCCAGCATTATACACAAGAATATCAGGATGAAATTCACTTAAAGCTTCCTCCAAATTCCTGGACCACAATACCAGTATCAACATTCAAAATTCTTTTCACTAACAGAATATTTTTGAAAAAGAAAAGAACTTACGATTCAACAAGATGTAAATACTCTGCATCTTCAGTCAAATGAGCAAGTGGTATGCTACGACGTATACCTTGCTTGGCTCGTTTGTCTCGTGGATAAATACCTGAATTATAAATATCCATAATATAAACATTTTTATGATTGAAAAAATCACGCTCATGACCATTTCCCTAGAAGAAATTAAAATTAAGAGAGTTGGTATTTTTCTGTCAATCAAGTTTCATTCAATTTGAACACTGCAAATCACTAACTTGGTGAGCATCCAAATCCACTATCATAGCTAATTTGACACGTGACTTTTCATGATGAAAAAGGAAATGAATTAGTAAAGTAATATCTGCATAAGGACAGAAGCCACCTCCTCTGTCCCTACTGCAATGATGAAAGCCTCCACCAATATTAATAGCCCAACCTCTTTCAATAGCCAATTTTCCAGCAAGAATACTTCCTCCAGTCTGAAATCTAAAAATTACAAAAATAAATTAGGCTGTAAATGAAAATAGCTACAAAGCTGAATTTTAAAACATGTGTAATTTTTTATATTAAAGATTTCTAGATTCCACCTCATTGGACGCAGATAACTTGACTGAACCATACAATTAGGTACCAGAGCAAGTGGAGGAATCTCTGCAATCATTGCTACTCTCCAACTCCACTGTAAAGTAAAAATATGAATAGCATGTGTTACCAGGTGCATTTATTCATTGTTTTATAATTGTCATTTTATGGAAACAGTCAAACAGTAAACTTGCCTTGAGACTCTTCAAGTACCGAACAGTATGAACCAGTAAAAGGTCATCCTGAAGAGCTTCGTTAGGTTTGATAATAGTATCGTCATTAACTAGGAGCGCATCTTTCAAATACTAATAAAAGAAAAAACTACAGAATAACACTTCGTAGCAAATAATTGACAGAAGTAAAACAAATGCAGACCTTGAATATGTGTCCCCATTTCCGTGCATCAAAAGGGTGAAGTTTCTCCAATCCAACAAAATGAACATTATACTCTTTCCTGTATATAATTGGAAGCTGCTGAGGACTGATGTCAATGTAGAGTTTGGAGACATGAGGTTCTCTACTAAAAGGAATTATTGATCATGTTACTGTCTTCCAGAAAATCAACACATTTTTTCTCATTAAAAACACACCTTTTCTTTGAACCCCTTCTTTGATTCTTTTTTGTCAATCCCATTCAGACAACAACACAATTTAACAATACCCGAAAACTTTAGTAAATGTAGGCTGTCATTACAGAGCAAATCACTAAGGAAATGTTTCCATTCAACTTAACTACATTAAAACCAGAACGCTTTCAGTAATTAATACCAAAGGATCCACTAACTATATACGTTGTCAGACGCAACAAAGAGAAAGAAAATATCAAGAAAACCAAATATTAATCCCTTTAATCTAATCACGCGAAATTTTTTGACAGTCCTTTAACACAGAATATTTCGCAACAATTGTCATTATGTTGGCATACTGGGTCGTATGTTGGCAGCCCAGTCAGCCCAGCTCATTCCAATTTCTTCTCTGCACCAGAGTTCGGAGGTTTTGCCGGGTTTTGCGTGAAGACTAAAGAAGGCTCGTGCAGACAGACTTCGTGTACAGAATTGAGAAAGATGTCTGTAAGATTCCTACAGACTTCGTGCTTCTGAAACATTAGTATGATTTCAGGATGTTTTCATAACATTTTCGTTCCGTAATATCTCCAAAATAAACCTTTTTCGAAAATGTAGAATCCTCAAATTAAGTAATGACATATTCAGGACACCAGTAATGTGCTGTTGTCTATAATTTGTTCAATGGAAATCGATAATGAGAACTCGTGGACTTGCAGAAGTTTTCAAAAGTATCTTCCTTAGAATTATTGAAATAAAACCGAATGCTCTCAGTTAAAAGCAATGTGTGCATTAATAATAGCTAAGTATAGTACTAATACTAGTATTGACTGCAGCTTGCCCTCAGAGTGGTATAGGCTATAAATGCTATTAAAAAATACTTCCGCAAAATTTAACTTTTTTAAATTCCCCCCCCCTTTTTTTTAATTTACAGATCATATTGATCAAATCGTAACAAAAGCAACTCGTACATTTGATTCATTTGAAGAATGACTATAAATTTCATGAAATGCCAAACTCTATTAGAACATTATATCTAACATTGGTGAGACCAATTTTATTGTATTTGTTGTCTATGCGTTCACCAAAAGATGAATATAATTTAAAAATTAGGAAGATTACATTATCAATTTTGTAGCATGGATTTAGTTCATGATATAAACCAAATTGCAAGCATACTAGATATTAGCTCGTTGAAATCACACAGAGATCTAAATGATTTAAAATGTTTATACAATTTAATTAATGAGATCGACTGAATTTATCTTCACTCGAAACTACTTCTGAAAGTTCCAAGCATGTCTCTACGAAATGCAGAATGCGAAGCTCTTTTCATACCAGTTGCAAAAACCAACAAATTTTGTCATGTGCCTTTATGAAGGATGTGTAACCTAGCTAAAAATCTAAACATTGAATTTTACTCAAATAGGAAATGCCTTCTTTAAAAAAACACTATTCTCCTCTTTCAAGCCTATTTTTACTTCCATGGCAAATTTTCTTCATATGATATAAGGTTAATATTTTCCACAACAGAAATGCTGGTATAGATGCCTGAAATAAACTACAGCAGTACCTAATGCAGCTATTTTGTTAACAGTAAAGTCAACAAGTGTGCAAAACTTGATGATCTTGCCATATTAAAATGTGTTAAAACAATTATTTGATTGAATTCTAAACATTTCAGCAGCTTCTGAGGCAAAGGATTTGAAAAATCTACTAAGTGTCAAGTTTCTGGGATACTGCTGGGGAATAGATATTCTTTTAACTTAAGGAGAAAAGAGAAAATAAAATTGTAATATGTTTTTACGGATTGCTCAATGGACAAACAATATTTTGATTTTATCAAAAAAGTTAAAAACTCAGACATCTAAGACATTTCAAGAAAAAAGAGTAAATTATATTAGTTTTTCTATAAATTTGGGGTATTTTTCTGATGTATGTTGGAAGTTGGTTTGCAACATAAGGCAGTGGCAACAAGCAACTGACAGTACCATTTAACTTTCAAAAAAATAACTGGATCTAATATAGATTTTACAACATCCACTATAAAAACACAGTGGAAAATTTTCTTCCCTACAAGTTATCTGAAATCATAACATGATTCAAGATATCCTAGCAAATGGATGGAATTTTCATCAAATAATATTTTATAAAGAAAACAATAGAGGAAATTTGAATTTTAAAGAACATTGTTCAAATAATTTGAAAATTACATTTCATATTACATTAGGTGTTAAAATATTTTCAAATCAATCCACCAAGTCCTCAGAAACAAATAAAAATCCAAGAATTCTTATCACTAAATAAATTATGGCAGATAAATTCAATAAATTGAAAGAACATTACTTTTTTTTAATATTACATATTACACTAAAGTCTGAAAAGATATTTAAAAGTAATAAAAACTCAACAAGAATAATAATTGCCCTTTATCAAAATATTGTCCTCTATTAATTTTTAATAGTTTCAGAAGTGATAATGTTGAGTTTTCTTAAAAAGAAGTTTCCATAAATTAGTAGGAAAACATTCATTGTGATAATATTGCACAAATAAGTAGATACTAGGGACTTGATTGTTCTGAAAATGAAATGTGGTATGATAAAAATTCAATTAAAACACCTAGCAGTTTTAAACACTATTAAATGTTTTCCACAGATAAATTCTTTCTTTGAACAATACCACATCATCCATGCTTTAAAACGCAGTAAATATATAATTATTTCGAAAAGTCTTTAGTGAATTTCATAAAATAAAAGAAATAAATTAAAAACAACAACAACAAAAATTAGAACCTTTGAAGAGTAGTCAAAGTAAATTATTTTTGTTTTATTCTGTATAAGTAATTTTTTAACATTTAAATGAACTCATTGACACGCGTTACAATGACAGGCATTGCATTATCTCAATTTAAAATGTAATAAATTATCAAATGAACAAAGGTGTAAATTTTTGAAAATAAAGTAATTTCCAAAAATTAAAAAATGCAAATTAAAAATAATACAAATTTACCATCTCAATATAATAACCAAAGTATCATATTAATAATTTCATAACACGTTCCTGTAATATGAAGATCAGTAACAGTTGGGCCAGGTCAAAAATTCCTGTGAACTATCACTTACATGACACTTTTACATCTGCATCCTGCTACCCAAAGGGTGCTTTAAACATGAATTTGTTATCTTGTTTCTTTTCATTTTAATTTTTTTTCAATAAATTACCCCTACAATATAAAAAAAATAATGATATAATTCAAATTTCATACACAAATATGGGGTTAAAAGAATGAAAAGGGAAGTGCAAGTAATATTTACACAAACTTTTATTAATATTTACATGTTTAATGAACAATATAACAATTTATTACAAAGAGAAGGAATAGTTATCAACAAATTCAAACGTTATAATCCCATTCTACATCAAACTTATCCTTGGTGCTGAATGATGATTCACTAATGAATTATTTTCATATTTTTGTGCTAGTCGACTAAAGATTATAAAATCCTACAAAAATTTGAATTTCAGAAACAAATATCTCAACTTCTTGAAAATATAAAAGAAATCAAGAAATTTATTACCTTGACCTTTTGATTAGGTTCTCAGGGAAATCTAGCTAAATACATAAGAGACCAAAATATAAATTTTACTGTTCCGTATCTGGTTGAAAAAAATTGGAAGTGTTAAATATGTCAGGTGGTTTATAAGCTGGAGACTTGACAGTTCTTGTGCTTGGATCTGATTTTTTGAAAAACAGAGGTTTTAAAAAGCTTTTCAGTTTCCCTTCTGCACACCCAATGTCAGCTTCAGCAACATCCATTTGTGATTCTACAGCATCTAGATCATGACGAATTTGTTGCACAAACGTGTCTAGGCTATCCACTCTGTCACAAAGGGTCTGCAAATTATCTATGCACATAACAACATCTGGAACAAGGTTTTTGAGACACTGGGAACCATTGGCTTGAACCATCGTAATTAAACTTTCAAATTCTTCAAGCCTTGTTAGTAAATCTTCTAAATTATCAACAAGAGGTGATAACTCTTTATTCATGTCTACTTTCATGTATGACACATAGTCATTTGCCAATTCTTGAATCATATCGGTTTTTTTTCAGGGCGAGATTCTTGAAATAAAACGCTTGAATTTTTAACGTGATATTTACTATATTTAATCACATCAACTAAATGGTCCACAAAAAAACGATTGTCAGAAAGTCTGCGACCTTCTCGCCAATACGGCTTGTTTCTTTGAAATCAATTCAGACCAATTTGTTCGCAATAATGACAATGTCCACTTGGTGATCACAATAATCAATCACCTTTCGTCCACAACCGGAGAGCGGAGGATCACCAGCAGAATCGCTGATAAATAGTGTAAATAGTGAAGCCAATGACAAGTAAATGAATGTGTAACTTGGATGTCCTCTGTATATTCTCTGCCGTTGTACGAGCATTGCCAACATAATCTTAAGAGCGAACACTGGGGTGGGTGACCTTAGATTCACCCACCCCAGTAGTCCATAACCATGGATGAATAGATCGTGAATGGATAGAGTTGTTCTATGGTCTATGAAACAGAACCCAGCAGACCGCACTAAATCCCCAATATGGTGGCGTTGACGTAAACCTATCAGTACCGCCCACTTCTGAACCCAAGGGTTTCAACCCGACCCGGGATATTCAAAGTGACATATTCGGAATTACTACATTACGGGGTTGATACATAATTCCTTTTTCTCTCTTTCTTCATTTTGATAGTTTTGGAGCTGAGTAATACATTAACCGTCGTAAATAGTCAATTCGCAACAAAGTATATATTTAACACATGTAATTATTTTATAGTAAAAAATAAATTCGAATCACTGGTTGCGATGCGTCCGCGCTGAAACTCCTATCTAGCGACTGCTTGATATGGAAAGGAATTGCTCCCAAGAACTACCACCAGTTCCCTGTCACATTCTCGGGCATTTCTCCCACCGAGAACGACTATTTGTATGTATGTATGTATGGGTATAATTTGGGGCCGTTTTTGAGAAAATGGCGTTTGGACATTTCTGAAATTAAGGAATTGTCAGCTCGTTGTCACATATAATTTCAGTTTTTGAAAAAAATTACAAGCCACCATTTAAAGCACATGTACTCATAAATGCAATAATATAAACAAATCGCATGAAATGTAAATATTAACAAAAGGAAAAATTTTCAAAAAAAATGTATAATTTTTAAAAAACAAAAATTACAAATATGTATTTTTTAATATTTCTCTCGCTGTTAATATGAAAAATAAAACCCAATCGTTTTCTGTAAAGAAGAGATTCAAATTTCACATTTACGGTAACACTTAAACGATATTTTCTGTAAAACGGTTCCAAATTTTTCAAGGAAAAATTACAGATGGGACGAGGTATTACTTCTCTATAATATTCTTAAATAATATATTGATCTACTCCTTCACACAAACTGGAGCCATTATTCAGAGAATTTTGAAAATGTCCCAACATTTCATGTAAAGTATCCCCAAAATTTAAAAAGGGAAAAATACAGGGATCTCCCACCAGTGAGGCACCGCCCCAGCCTTGACCAGTTCTAAGCTCCCGACCGGTCTTCCGGCATGTATAAATGTGGTGCATGTTAGTGTGTAAGGGGAGAGGATAGGACAAGGAAAAGGTAGAAAAGATCGTGCGCGGTTCGTGGCCCATTTGCTAGGGTACTACTTCGGCATTCGCTTGGTGTTAATTGGGGGAACCACGGAAAACTAGCGATCAGAGCAGCAGGCCGCTAGACTTCTCATCCACACAGCGACTGAATTCGATCTACCTGACTAGCTTGTGTCCAGTCACCACCGGGACTCGAACCTAGGACCTCCCAGTCAGAGGAACTGCAGTGACATCAGTTAATGCCCAGAGCAATCTCTTCCAAAGTTTTATTTAGAAAACGGTGCTCAAGATGGCTCAGATCGGACTTTCGTAGAAATCTCTGATTTCAGAAATTTGTAAATGCTCCATTTTTTAAAATCTCCCTACAACTATCACATTGAAGATGTACACTTTTCTTAATGAAATCAGTTCAAAGACAGCTCAATATTTCAAATAAGGCCGTGAACAATGTTTTGAAAATAATTAGTTTAGCACAACTTTTGCAAATCTGTGTAATTGTAAATATGAATTTCACACACTTCTTGTTCTGAATAGTCTGTCACAAGATACTAATCATAATAATGGCAACATCAAGACTGCAGATTGAAATTCATAGAATTACTCATTGTTTGGAGATGTTTCTTGCTGTAAGGGAACAGTTGAGGAATGTCGAATTAGTGTTGAGAATTAGCTTCAAAGAAATTAATTTACACAACTCATGAACTACGACTGGAAGTGAGTTTACAAGTGATGACAGAGATATGTTAAATTTGGACAGAAATTGCAGTATTATCATTTTAAGTAACAGCTACTAAACAGCAATAAAGTACACTAATAGCAAACATCTTGATCCTTATTGTGACTGCCGCAACTACAGAAAACATGCTTCAGCATAAGGAGTCCCTAAAGTCCCAGAATAGATCAAACAATGTGTAGGCAACTTTGTATACAACAAACACATACATTTTTTGCACGAATGAATCAGGATGAATACAGATATTACACAATGAGTAAAAGGTTAAGGCAAATGATTTACTCAGAACTGAAATAAAACTCAGTTTCACATAGTTATTTAAGTTTATTGAGGTATCAAATATTCACAACAAGAGTCCTAACACTTCACAAGGAAACTGGAGGACACAAAATCAAAACAGGAAATTTGTAATGAAACTGATTTGTATTAACAAATTAGAGGCAAAAGTAAACAATTAAGTTAATTATGAAAACACAGACATTTTGTTTGTAAAAGCTTAATTTGTACTTATTTGTTTCGTAAGATTGAACCAGAAAACTTTAATGTTGAAACCAAAAGTTTTTTAACGTGCAGCTCGTAAGTAAATCATTTTTATGAGTTTGTTTATTAAGATAATTAAAAAATTACAAATGTACTATTAATTCATTTTGAAACTTAATTTTTCTCTGACTAATAAACTCATGGGAGTTTGTAAATAGGTAACAAACACACAATAAAGTTAAAATTTGGAAGTTAAATAAAATCGAAAATTAAGGAATGGACTGTTAATTAGGTTTTTGTATTCAAAAAAATTTTACACTAAGTCTTACATTACTTTTTGTAGATAGATAAACTGGGTCTCAAAAGAAGCACTGTTGTCTCACATTCTGCATGCATATATAAGCTTTATTACAAAGCAAGAGCCCCCTTCAATTATTGACTCTTAAAAAGTTGTTGTGAATTAGGCCAGATAAGAGAGAAGCAGCATCAGAAGTGGCTGCGACTGCTTGTTGTTTCAACACCACTAACATCATTGGAAACAAGAACAATATGTAGCACAAAACTTCAAAATATGTAATAAATATGTAAAATAGGATAAAATATGTATTAAAATGCACTAATTATAAAACAAACATTTACCTCATATGAAATTACATTTATAAAAACTCTAAATAAATTTTAAAAATAATACAAATGTTTTAAAAGTCATTAGGAGAGTACAAAGTTGTAAAACATTCATCTACTTCTATTCTGTATGGTCGTTTAGCAGCCAGACTAGACGCAATAGAAACCATCCTACAAACTGGTGATATCTATGACCAGCTAACAATCACCGCGAGAAGCATTCTAATTGAAGTGTTACACATCGGCAATTGCCTAAGTTTCTTGGAAATTAATGTGGGGGGGCCAACACATACGCACATCTCCCGCACACATAATCTTCATTTGCACTAGCAAATATGCTGCTTAAAGCTTCGTTGCACTAAATGATGTTGCCGATTGAACTGGCTGGATAACATCACCAGGGGATGAAGAGGAGTCTACCCATGGGGTGTCACCTCAAATAATAGCGATTGAATGAGGGGAACACACCAAGTTACCAAGAGAGTGAGAGATATGTGCTATGAAAATGTCCTGGGAGTGTCTGATGACTGCGCTAACAATTTGTTTTGTAAGTTGCTCATAGAAATCAAGTCCTCGAGTGAGGTTGAGGCACGCTATGTGTACCCAATAGTAGTCTCTGTCGCAGATATGGGCGGTTCGTAAGAAATGGTCCGAACGATTACACACACTTGCAAGCTGCATGCCCTTGGTCAGGTTGAGCCTTCCAGGGGGCCAGGTGTTTATCCTGCTGGATGAGGCGCAGCTTCTGAATGACAAGACCAAAAAAACTTGAGTCCCATCCTATTGGGTGTAAGGGATGAATTTAAATAGTCTTCAACAAGAGCGAGGGACATGGGTCGAGAGGAAAATCTAACGGTCACTACCTTCTGAAGATCGGCAGAGGCCAATTTTTGATTAGCTTCATCTTTGGAGGTGAGGAGCATAAAGGCGCCTTCAATTGAGAATAGAAGAGCCCCTTGTCATGAAAAACAGGCAGCCCAGCTCCCCCACCTGAATAAGGGGCATTTAAGAAACGGGTGGTTCTCTAACCTAACAGATTTTTCGTGATACAACGAAAGGATTTGTCGGTCTCGGTAGCTTGATGTCGACTGACCTCATACAAAGAGAAAAAGCAAGTTGACGTGCAATAAAAGCTGTGATGGTAACAATCTTGGGCCACGGGACCAAGGTGGAGTTTTGAACTTTTTCCATAAGGGAGAGAACATTCCTAACTTTCATGTCAGAGTTGAGAAGTGAAAAACCTACTGGTTTGCCCAGGAAGACTGTGTGGTCGTCCAAATAGTCTGGATAGGTTGGTCCCCCCACAGAGTTGAGAGGAGGGGGGTCCAGATCCCTCTCGAGGATGAAGAGTGCATCGCATTTGGAGGGGTTGAGACAAATGCCTAGGGCATAAGCAAGAGGAAGAACAGGTTCAAGCATCAACTGAACTAAGGAGAGGAGGCAGCTAACCAGAATTCCTCCACATACGCTCATCATTTCACATTAAGATTAGAGATGAAAAGAGTGGCCCTGCGGACTGGGCCTACCACTAGGTTAAAAAGGGATGGACTAAGCGGACAGGCCTATTGGACACCGCAGGATGGAAAAATGTATATACATAAAATAAAAGTTCATACAAAGAAAATACTTTCTGTATGTACAATTTTTAAATCACAACTAAAAAATAAGAGAAGTAAAAGGAACCTTAGTTTATTCGTTCAAAAGAACAAGTTTAACAAATTCTTACAAAGAAACATCAAAAAAAATTAAATTTAATACTCAATAAATGTTATATGTACAAACAGTAGCAACAAAAATTGTATGTTAAGATATTTACTATTTCACGTTTTTTCATAACTTGGTTCTGAACTTTTTTCTTGTAAAACACCACTCTTCTCTGAAATGTTCGGTGACTTTGTTACTTCAGATTCTTCTTGAGTTTCCTGGATGGAAAAAAACATCAATTTGAGTAGCACTTATATAGTCATCAAATGATCAACATCTCCAGCCTTATCTGTGAATCCACACACAGGTATTGAGATGAGTAATTTCATCTCAAAAGATGAAAAATAAAAATATTTTAAATATAAGGGCTGAAACAGTGAAGATTAATGGGAAATAAAACAGTGACAAAGGAAGGACAAGTTAAGGTGTGATATTGGAGCTTTCGAACATAAAGAGACTAATACAGACTATGAAAAGTACTAGTAAAATATTATTTACAATACGACATTTAAGTAATGTTACATTTTGTGCCAGATGGTGAATTAAAGATATAGTGTTCATGAGAAAACAATGTATTTCCATAAACAATTGTGACTCCCAAATAAACGTACAGTGTGTGTCAAAGAAGTGAATTGCGACTGCACTGTCAAAAAAGAAAGAGGTAAGAAGAGCAGAAGACTGCGGGTGGTGGTTGGAGTCAGACATGGGAGAACGTGATAGACATTTGTGGAGGTCAGATGAATTTGAAGTGGTCTTAGCTTTTGGAAGTTCACTTACAGAAGAAGTTTGGGGAGCAAAATGTTAATAAAAATTCAGGCAAGCTGTTAGGAAAGTAATAAAAAATAAAGTGAACCGTCATGATAGCAAGAGGGCTAAAAAATCCACTAAAAGGTCAGGTTTTTATTTAATATTTGTAAGAAGATGAAGTTTTGTCCCTAGCAGTAGTAAAAGATCAATTTTTCTTTTAAAGCAAATAGAATGAGGAAGAAAGATATGCTTTGTATGGTATTGAAATTAGATTAAGAATGGACGACTGATAATTTGAATTAAAGGTACGAATGAGAATTTCATTCTTCATTTCTGCACAAATTGTTGCTCGTTTGTTTATTATACAAAGTAGTATACATTTCATATTTATAGGTTATATTTAAATGATTTCAGGAAAGTCAACAGATAGAGAACATTACATTCGATTAGAAGAGTGTAAACTATGCAGTTGTGAATTATCATGGAATATTTAAAATAAGTGAGAATAGGTAACCATACATGTTGCCGTGTCAGAATAATATTAAGAAATATACATCTGAAATGCTATATAGGGAGAGCTGTCACCAGCCCACAAATAATCGATTTTCTATGATTGTGGATGTGCTTTTCCCTATAAATTAAGCAATTTGGGAGTTTGTAGAGAAATAGGAGAACATAGTAAGATGGAGAACAATAAAACAGTTATCAAGTACACAGAATTATTAAATAGAAATGTAAATAAACTGGTGAAGGACAATTATCACATTGTGCTTGTTTTAAAGCATTTGAAAATGATGACTGAACTTGCTCTTTTTTATCTAGTCATTTTATGCTTTACCAGCATTACTAAGTTTTTTATTAGTAGCAGAATTTAAAAAAAAATAATCAGCAAACCTTTTGAAAAACACTTCATTAAAGTTAAACAAAACTTAAATAGATAAAAATATTGACAAATATTATGTATACATTGTTTACACTTGATATTCTCACCCACCTTACAAATTCACTGAAGGCGGCACAAAAAAAGTACTTCAGTTTGTTGTATATTCATTACTTCAAAATAATGAAATTACTTAAAAGAAAGAAAAAATGAACTACTAACCACTGCGGGTGAACTAGGATGTTCTCTCTCAATTTTTTCAAGTATTTCTGATGTAACCCCTGTAACTTTTTGTGCACGATATGCCTTAGCTGCTTCATCTAAAAGTACATTGTGCAGCAGTGCTCTGTTTTTTGTAGAGTCCACTGTCAAAGGTGGATATGGATTGCCTGGAAAAAACAAAATTTAGGTTCAAAAAAGTTCGAGGAAGGTGAATATAAGTTTTTATGCACGTTTTTGATCCAGAGAACTTGCAACAACATCAAAATGAAAATGTTTAAAAGTAACTGCAGTATTTCAATTTTTATGATCTAAATTTTAATTGACAATGAAAAAGTCAAGTGAAATGTGTGCTCTTTCGGCCCAACCAAATAATTAAATTCAGAATAATTCTGGTTTCTAAGAAATATTATCAAACTGATAAAAGAAATTAAAGCAATCCAGCAAAAATAATTTATTTAAATAATTTTGGACCTCTAAGATAAGTAAGTAATGATCACACAAACAATATCAGAACCTTTAGGAGTATCATTTTCCCATCAAACAAAATTAGAAGCACTTAATTTTTGAATTTAATATTAATAATAGTTAAAAGCTGTGTATGATGTACATATCCACCCACTTTCTGCATACACTAATGTATTATATATAACTTTCCGCTGGAGAACAAAATTGCGTTTCATTTTAATTCAATTTCTATTCAAACTGCACTCCAACTGGGCTTCATTGTTGCTGAGTGTTGCTGTGATGCAGGGCGAGGCCAAGGTTAGGACAGCAGTGTGCATAAGTAAGAGAGAGACAGAGTGTCACAGAGACAAGACACACACAGACACAAGGAGAGATGGGCAAAGGGAGGAACAGGGACAGAAAGACGAATACGGACAGAGAGCATCGACAGAGACAGTCAGACAGAGTCAGAGATTGGGAGAGGGACGTAGACAGAGAGAAAGATGAAGAGACAAAGAGACCGAGAAAGGGAGATGGAGAGAGAGAGAGAGATCGAGATTAAGGGTAGAACAGCTGACAGGTTCCACTAGTATATACTAATTAATGTGTCATGCACAGTTTTTTTCATTATATTGAATTTATGATGTCATATTCATTGATTTCTTATATCATTTTCATTTCTTAATTTATTTATTTTTATTTAGAGGTTAAGTGAATATAATTTGAAATACCCACAAAAATTGACAGAAAATATTAAACCTTTCCTTCTACTACTTATTAATAAGTAAAGGAAACGTGAAATTTTGGATGGGAAAAATGGATGGGAAGAGATTCTGGAACTCTAGGAAACATGGACATATGATCTTCTCCCCCATACATCACATACAGTTTTTACTGTTTTTTAACTAAATAAATCTAAATCTAAAAGAACTTGCATTTGCACAAGAGCCAGATTTCTCACCTCGTAATTCAAGCACTGCTCGTTTGAAGGCAATGCCTGGACTATCAGGAGCTTTTAGGAGCCTTGTATAAGAGATAGGATATTCTCTGAAACGTGGCACCAACACCTTGAATAATTTGTGGACCAGTTGTTTCTCAAGAAGCCAAAAATCTGCCAACTCCATTGTTGTTCTGTGGCAATCTCCATATCGTATTGCTTCCGAAATTAGCTATAATTCATAAAATATAAAATCCATGAATACTTTCCAGGAGTTTCAAACAGTATATAGTAAAGAGATACAGCAAAACAGTTTAACAGCCAAGTTCCGGACAAACTTAAGAGAAATATTTGTAGCAACTACTTCAACCCAGTCAAGCAGAGAAGAAACTAGCTATGGAGATGAAATCACTAGGTTTAGCAGGTTGGGTGGAAACTTTAAATGGGCAGGAATACTGAGCAAAGTTACAAAACAATTACATACCTAAGGTAATACAGTAAAATACTATAGCTATTATTTTATCAATACTGGTACTACTGACTCCGCATGAACTTTCCAAGTAAATGGTAATTCTACGATAATTCCGAAAACATACCCTCTCAGCATAACCTCGTGCTTCGTCTGCACGGTTGTAATTCAGTTCTATCCGTTCGTGCTTTATTAGCCCGGTTACAGTCTTGCGAAGTTTCAAAAGCCGTCCTTCTGGACCATCTGGGTTCTTCAAATTTCGATGACGAGGTGCAACGTTTATTCTAAGCTTTGAAATAAGTTTCGAGACATCTGCTTGATTCATCTCGTTTTGTTATGGGTGCAGCACGTAACTTAAACTATAACTATCATTCTTCCTCCGAAAAGCATAAGTTCCTTTAATCCACCCCGATGTAAAACAGGTCACACACAATTTTGTTTACTTTTATCACGTGAACAATACAAAAATATGCAGAAATAGAATTCCAAATACACCATAAGCACAATCGAAGTCAATCAAAATCAAACGGTATAATACACCGGTCACAACAGGCCATAAGTACGATTAGTATTAGTGCACACACATAACATGTTACATTGGCAGCAGTGGAAGAACCAAGAACACAGAGAACGGAGATTTGGGACGTTAAGTTGGTGACAAAAAAAAAAGACTAGTAGTGATCTAATATTTGCGGGAAATATGAGGTAAAATTTGTAGAAAGTCGAAACTTGCAAATATTCAGTTTTCAACAACTTTCCTTGCGTTGATACATGAATTTCTGGCCTCCATGTGAGAAGTAAATGTAACTTCACTATGATCACGTTTTTTGAACTCTTCTTTTGCTTGTAATGGTAGGAGTATTTTTTAATAGAGGTAAAGGCGAGTTACTACTTTGTTAGCAATGCAGAAAAATCATTCTTGCAATTCATTTACCAATGCAAATAAGTTTTATATAACTCCGGAACGAAAATGTCTATTTTTTCAAATATTGCTAATCTTGCGCTTTTTTAAAACTTATTTTCATTTAATTATTTTAAACTTTTACTCCTCTTTCAACTATTATAGTTAAAATGATGGGAAGGGATTCTGGAACCGAAGAAAACGTGCGCAGATCATCTTCTCTCCCATTCGTCACATACAGTTTTTTGACTAAATAAATCTAATCTAACGAGAGCCGCGTAACAAATTCTGAATTGAACTAATGTGTACTATTGTATATGCTTGTAAATAATACATGACAAATCAGAAAGATCGTGAACGTGACCGTAACTGTTAGTGATCAACGGTAAGAACGTCTTCCCGTGGCTTTTTCCAGCTTCAGGGAATGTCGTTTTCGGCTATCTGCACCTGGGTATACATAGTATTCTTTAATATACACTAGGCACACAATTGCGTTCTTCTCGGTCTGTGGTCGGCAGACTCACAAGTCCTTCCGCGACAACACACATACATAAAGACAAAGGACAATCAACAATGCCCACGGCGGGACTCGAACCCGCGACCCTTCAGATAGAAGCGTTGAGTCCGCGCCCTTGCCGCCTCGGCCACAAGAACGGAAAACCGAAAATAAATAAAACCTTAGTAACATTGTCTTCAGTCATCGTCAAGACGTCTGATTTTCTCCGAAATTGATATTCCCCGAATGAACTCTAGGCACTATGAGTTCTGGGCACTATGCATAAAGCCTGAATCACATTTTCAATTTTTTATTAAACTTTGTCCTAGGATAGACCAAAAAAATTCTTAAAACGGGTCTAATTTTAGTTAAAATCCCTAGATTATTTAGACCTGCAAAAAATTAACATTGCATAAGTATTATGTTGAATACAGATATTTTTGTCTGAAATGAAATCTGCTCTAAAAATATTATATTTAAAAAGGCTGTGTACATTTTCTGTTGAAAAAACGAGAAGTTTCCCAACATTTCAGTTTTAAATTAATGTATTGTACATTTTTCTCAACAAAAGCTCCAAATTTTCTATTTTTTCACGAATAGCGTTAAGTATGCTTAAAAAATAGCGGAGGTATGATTTTCGGTAACTCTCTGAATTTTTGAAACTTGCAAAAGTTAGAAAAAACGCGAGAAAGTTTCTGCTATTGCAGCACCATTTTACCTGTTCAACGTCAAAATGAGACCAAACAATTTCAAATTGGGAACTAAAACATTTACCTTGAGAATAAACACGATCACTTTGGGTTTAAACACAATCAATTTGAGACCTACCAATTTAAAATCAAAAAACAAGTCGAAGGTTATAGTTTAATATGTTGATATTAACAAATCTCGCTGCTCTTAGCTTGTACCAGTCATAAGTAGTACTGGTGATAGACTACGCACCTTGCCATTGTAGCGTAGAGTAACCATTTCAAGAAAAAGGATTTTGTGATTTACTTTGATAACGGCCGTACAACCCAAGGTTCAATACTATTGAGTTTCGTGCGAAATATATTATATATATATATATATTATTAGGATCGAAAATTTTGAAAATTCGGATTTAACAGTGAAAATCGAATCTATGCCTTCTTTATACGTGTATTCCACCCAGGAGCTTCCCTCAAAATTTAAAGAATATTTCAAAATGACAAAGCACTGAGTCGGCCATATCGTTGATTGTTATTTTTGAAAAAAATTACTATAAATAGTTTAGGCGCTAATGTTGTTCACAGACCGACTGATGGGCGGACGGTCGGACAGACGGATAAATAGACAGGCGGAGAGAAACAGATAGCTGCTTTGAAAATACTTATGGGTTTCAGGGGACCCCAAAACGCGTATTTCCGTTGAAATCTTAAAATCGATTTTCCGCAGTATTACATCATTTTTCTGTACTATTGACCAAAATGATGCACACATTCTAAAATTTTTAGAACTTTGGAAAGCTTATGACGTTATTGACCATAACATTTTGCTATCAAAATTACTTCGCGGTATCGCCCTAGTATGGATAAAGTCATACTTTAAACTTCGATCTCAAAGAGTAGAAATACCGTACGGACACGAAAGGACATTATTTACTTATCTTACCAATTTAATATAGGGTTCCGCAAGGCTCAATCTAAGGTCCTATCCTCTTTCTGTTATACATAAACGATATGTCGTTATCTATTAAAAACGGATGAACGGGTCTGTTTGCTAATGACTCGAATTTTCTTTGCAGAAAAGAAACAACAAATAGTACGATTTTAGAAGTTTCAAATTGGTTTTCTAATAACAAATTAATAGTTAATAAGGAAAAACAGTTTCAATGCATTTTTGCATTTCAAATCAGCAATCGCATGCCTCATTGAAAATGAATAATATGCAACAGCTGTTATTCATGTAACAAAATTTCTAGGTCTCTCAATTCAGTCAAACCTCAAATGGAACGTACATATAACAAAATTAAACACTAAATTAAGTGCATTATGTTACGCATTTAGAATTCTTTCAAATTCTGTCAGCTCGTTGCGTGTAGTTTGCTCATGTGGAACCTTTAGATTGCAAAAGAAATTTATTCGAATAGTGAAAAAATGGCATTCGCGTGATCCCTGCAAGCCTCTTTTCATTGAGCTTGGAATCTTACCATTGCCTTGCCTATTTATTTACGAATCTGTAATATTTGACAAAAGTGACTTACCTAACGGGGGCAGTATTCCATGCAATACTGATGTTTATAATTACAACACACGTCATAAAAATCACGTTCATCAAGTGGCAGTATCAACAGATCACTATCTGAAATTCACATACAACACATGTACATTACTTTACAATGCATTGCCATGACATTAAACAATTGAAGTTGGTACACAAATTTAAGTTAAAAGTAAAATATTTTCTGTTGCATAACTGTTTCTATACGATTAGAGACTATACTGATCATCAAAAAGAAAAATAATGTTTATTTTAACAAAACAGTGATATACAATGAATTAGTTTACATTTGTATTGTATTTTTTTTAAAGAAGGCCTAATTTGGCTTGTAACAAATAATGTATTTCAGCTTCCGAGTCAATGACCCTACCATCTCGATCAGGTTTTTGTCTAGTTTCCCTGATACATTGAGCAAATGCGGATATAGCCCCTTATTTTGCTTCTGGACGTAAATGTAGCTTCACTATGCACACGTTTTGTTGAACTCTCCTTTTGCTTGTAATGGTAAGAGTAGAGGTAAGGGCGAGTTGTTATTTTGCTAGCAATGCAGAAAAAACATAATTGCAATTCGTGTACCGATGCAAATAAGTTTTCTATTACTCAGAAACGAAAATGACTATTTTTAAAATATTTCTAACTTTTTAAAATTTATTTTTTAAATTTATTTTTATTTATGTTAAACTTAATCATTTTTCAACTATTTATAGTTGAAATGACGGGAAGATATTTCTGGGTCTCAAGAAAACGTGCGCAGATAATCTCCCCCTACGTTACATACAGTGTTTACTGTTTTTAGACTAAATCTGAATCTAAATGTACTACGTACTATATTACTCCGTATAGTATAGGTACGTAAACGAGATTTTGGGTTGATGAATGTTGATGGAACAGTACTGTGGCGTCTATCTTAATGGAAATAATAGTCTACTTTTATAACTATCAAAAAGATGTTTTTGATTAATGTTGGACACAAAAGATTCAAAATTGTCTATGATATCTTCTTCAAAATCCTTAAACTGATTCTCTTATCTTTGTAAAATTTCTTGCTTATTTTCTTCAGGATTTATTATTACACGATTGAACTTCATTCGTGAATCGGCCACAATTGTGTGAGAGGCAGAGTTCGGAAGTTTTAGTATTTTACGAAGCACAAGGATCGGTTCTCCATTTCAAACAAGGAAGACTTCTTCATAAACATTTAAATGAAAAATGTAGTTATATCATTCACTTTGAAGTTGTCACGATGTACATTTCTTAATCACTTAATCCTTAACATTTTCTCTTTACAAACGTTAAACACTGAAGTATGCTAGAGACATATTGTCATTGTTGATTTGCAGCCAGTCACATGAACGATATATAAAGAGTTATAAAATGATTCTTATTAATGCAGTTGAAATTAAATGCTTCTAAACTACGAGAACACTACTCTTTCAGTATTTCATACCTAAACCGCTACATACTGTACATTCATTGAATCTCTGAAAGCACGGGAGCGGGCGTAGACTTCGATGGCGGCCATGTTTGTATAATTTGATACTAACATTCAGATCCGTGGACTGTAGATGATCTTGGACAGAGTGGCATCTCAGAGGCTCGGCCTGCAAGGGCCGTAAAGGCAGTTAAATTTTTATTAATCTCGCAATGTTCGAGGAAGCAGCAGGAGAAACATATCTTTTGCATCCTTGGCTCGAAACTATTTCTGTACATAAAAATAACCTTGCGTAAAAAGAGACAGAAGAAGAGTAATAAATGTTTGTTGGGAATGTAGATTATTAGAAAATATGGTCTCCCAAACCTAACCAGAATACCTGCGATCCGGTTGGATGCACATTTCTCAAGTAAAATGCAAATATCAGTTCAAAAATCAAATAGTGTATAGATCAGAAATTCATGGCCCGATAATAAATTTAGATTTATTTAGTAAAAAAATAGTAAAACTGTATGTGACGTATGGGGGAGAAGAACTTTTGATAATTGAATCTAACCTTTAAAAAGGCCATCAGTGTGGAGATAACCATTGAAAATGAGCGCAGACCACTTCAGATATGGATGGGATTCGTCAATATCGGCGAACCTTGGTTATAGAAGCAAATATTTACACGAGAGAAAGATGATCTTGGAACGTGGGATGTGAACCCCCCATAGATCAGGGTTCCCAGACGCAGTAGCAGAGCCAGGAGGTGGCATGTCCCCCATGACCCCCCCCCCTAGGCCTACAGTTCTCGTTTGGTACCTTCCTTTATTTGGCAAACTTTATTTAAATATTTATGTTAGAATAATGTAATTACTTTAAAAATATCGTATAGGATCTATACACTACAAAAATAACATTCAAAACAATCGTATAGGATACAATAACATACAAAATAACGTATAGGATCTATACAGTACAAAAATAATAACAAATATGTTTATTATTTAACAAAAATCTCTGATAGCTCCCCCCTAAAAAAATTATCGGCTAGATCTGCCCCTGCCCAGATAGGTACGCGTATCATGAGTACGCAAAAGCAATACAGCTGGAACGTGAGCAAGTGTAGGGAAAACCATTATTAAATGTAGTTAAGGCGAATATTGAAAACTATTGGTAGTGAAAGAACGAATGCGACTCAGACGGTGCAGGTTTGAACCTACACTGGTTGATATGTACGAGTATAAATGGCTTGAAGGGTGAAGTAATTGATTGACTCACGCATTGCGCATTGTACAAGTGCAACATACAGGGTTTGTCTGGAGAAACAATTGTTGCTAAAACTTGAAAAAGTCAAGTGTTCAAAATATTTCGTTTTTCGCAAAATGTTCCCAATCATCAAAAGATTGTACTTTTTAAATAATTTTTTTGGAAAGAAAAAATAGCTTCATACTAGCACCAAACTTCAAACGTTTCTGACTACACTTGATACAGATCGGCGGTAGTAATTAAATGTAATTAATGGAATTAAAAGTAATTAATGTAATAAAATGCAATTATAAGTTCGCAAAGGTCTCAGTTTGGAAATTTGGGCATAAGAAACATTATTCTTGTTCCACAGGACACGAAAATCTGTTTTTAAGGGCCGAAGACGTGAAAAATGTGAAAATGTCAACTGAAATAGGGACAAAGTGGAAACGCTTGATTTATTATTATTAATATTAATTTTATTAATATTATTATAAATATTAAAGTTAATATTCACACTTATTTAAGGTTTTGACACAGGCAAGACCTATATAATAACATCTCTAAAGATACAATGAAAGAAAAACTTCGCTAGGAGTATAGGAAAGTAAGACTCATCATGCAGTTCACTCTAATTTCGACAAATAACATTTCCGCAACATGTTTGACATTGCCTTTAGCCGAGTAGAGCTCGGTCTGATGGACTCGACTGATCAAAAAATTCGAACCATGGACCTAAATAGTATTGCAAAGGAAATAATATCCACAAAAGTTTTAATAATTTTATTAACAATTTTCCATAGTTAACTTTCGGGAAACACTTTTCCCATCCTCAGTGGATCTTGCTCAAGCAACATGGATCTCCCATGAATGTTCACAAATGGTCAAAAATATAAAATGGTAAAGCATGCTGGTTACAGC